CATCCCCATGGAGGTCCCCAGACACATCCAGAGGTGTCCAACCCCGTGGGTGTCCCCATGTCCATACCCATGGGTGTTCCTGGTCCCATGGAGGGCCGCAGCCCAATTCCAGCAGAGGTCTCCAACCCCATGGGTGTCCCTGTCCCTATGCCCATGGAGATCCTCATGACTGAGGGATGTTCCTGTGGAGGTCCCTCTCTACAGATGCTCCTGTCCCCATTCCCATGAATGCCCCCAGGCCCATCCCCATGGATGTCTCTATTCCCATGGAGGTCCCCATTTGCCACCCCCATGGATGCCCTCCTCCCCATTCCTGTGAAGGTCCCCAAAGATGTCCTTGTCCCATCCCCGTGGAGCGCCCCCATGGCTGTCCCCATTCCCCATCCGGGTGCTGGCCTGCGGGGCCAGATGTCAGATCCATGGGTGCTCACCCCTTTTCCATAGGGATGGGTGAGCCAGCCCAGCTCCCCATGTGCCTTGGCGAAGTCCAGCAGCACCACTGTGGGAGAGGAGAGAGGACAGGGATGTCAGCAGATGCCACCAGGACCTGCAGGTGCCACCAATACACCCCTCTGGCCCTTGGATGTCCATGCCCCGGGAGCCACGGACAACCCCATGGAAGTCCCCAGGATGTGCAAACACTCCTGGGATCCACAGATGCCCCCAAATTTATCGATGTCCTGGGTGCAGGTGCCCAGGAGATCCATGAATTTTGGGGACATCTGTGGATCCCAGGGACCTGTGGATATCCCTGGGACCTGTGGATGCCATCAGGACCCACAGACATCCCACCAGGATCCCTGGATGGCCTGGGCACTCACAGACATCCCTGGAACCCACAGATGCCAGGAGGTTCCATGGATGTCCTCAAGACCCCTGGATTCCCCCAAGACCCACGGATCCACCCCATTTCCACAGAGTCATGGATGTCCCCAGGTCCCCAAGAGTCATGGATGTCCCCAGGACGTCCAAACAGTCCCAGGCCCCAGAGGTGCCCCCTGGACCCACGGATCCCCCCGTTCCCGGCAGATTCCGCTGGAAGAAGCCCCCCGGGGGCCGCCCCCAGAGGCGGGGAAGCCGCGGGGCCCGGCGGGACCTGCCCTGGCACGCCGAGGGCGGCGGCCGGATCCAGCGCCGGGAGAGGAAGAGGAGGAAGAGGAGGCCGGGGAGGGAGCGGGGCCCCCCGGTGAATCACCCCCCAGGAATGTGCCCGGACGCCCGGGTTCAGCGGCGAGATGGGTCCGGCGGGACGGGGCCATTCCGGGACGGATGTGCCCCCCCAGCTCCCACGGCTGAGCACGGACGGGCTCGCGGCGGGTGCCGGAAGGGTCAGGTCTGGGGGGGACCCCAAAACCTGCCTGGGGGGGACCCCAGAACCTGCCTGGGGGGGACGCGGGTGGCTGCAGCGTCCCCCCCGCGCCGTGCCCGGGGTCAGGAAGGATGCCGGGGCGGATATCCCGGTTTTCCTGAGGCTGGAAATCCCCCCCGCGAGCCTCCGGAGAGCGGAAAGCTGCCGGAGCCAGGGCCGGAGCGGGCGGGGGTTCCCCGCCAGTGCCCCCGGGGGTGGCTCTGGGGACAGTCCCGGGGCCGGGGTTGCTCCAGGGGTGCAGCAGCGCCGGGAGCTCCCGGGACAGCGCCGGGGCCGCAGCCACGTCCCGGGAGTCACCTGTACCCACCACCGCCATCGCCATCATCATCATCATCAAATTCTCCGTCGCCTTCGTCACCCGGCCACGGCCGCCCCAACCCCCAGTGCCACCTGATGTGGCCACCAACTCCATCGCCACCCTCAGCGCCGCCCCCGCGCTCCGGAGCAGCATCCCCGTCCCATTCCCAATCCCATTCTGGCTGCATCCTTATCTCTGTCCCCTGCCCTGCCCTAACCCCATCCCAACCTTTGCCTGAATCCGAATTCCCTTCCCAAAGTGAACCCCAATCCCATCCCCTCCGCTCCCATTCCTGTCCCCATCCCAATCCCATCCCTGTCTCAACCTTAACGAGAATCCCAATCCCAAAATGAATCCCATCCTCATCCCAACCTCATCTCCTCCTCAATCTCAATCTGAACCCCAATCATAATCCCAAAATTGATCCCATCCCAGTCCAAATTCTGCTCCATTCTCTCCTCTTTAACCTTGTCCCCACCTCGTCCCCAAATCCCACTGGATCTCACAGAGGGGAACCAATCCCCTCAAAATCCCCAAATCCCACCACTCTCCCACCACTTTCCCTTTCCCCCCACGCACTTTTAAAACCTCAAATCCCAGTATTCCCTCCTGGGAAACAGCACTTTGGGAACACACCCCAAATCCCACAGCTGCCACGGGATCATCCCCTCTGCTGTCCCCCCAGTACTTCCAAAAATCCTCATTTTAGGGGTTTTTACCCCATTTTTAGTTTTCAGGGAGTATTTTTGATCCCAGCCTCTGATTTATTTGCATTTGGGGCTGGATTCTTCCACTTTAGCCTCAAAAAATGACGAATTAAAGCCATCAGGCAGAGTTTATAGAAACTCAGTCCTAAAAAAATTCCAGGTATACACAAAAAAGTGATTTACCCCCTTTTCTTTTGCCAAATCCTGCAAACTAAGCCCCTAAATCACTGGGGGAAGGGTTGCGAGGTGGAGGCCGAGACACTGCTTGTTTTTTCCCAGCAATTTTTTGGGATTTTCCTGACATTGTTTTCCAGCTCTCTGGCCGGATCCTACCCGACCCTGCACCACCCATGGGAAACGCTCCATTTTAAGGTGATATTCCTCTTTTTGGGGGTTTATTTTTTAATCCCCCCCACCTTCACCCCTGGGTCAGTCTCCTTTGGGGGCTCCCGGCAGGACCTGGCCCCGGTGCGTCAGTTGGACGCTCGGCATGAGCAAAGTTGCCCCAAACTCTTGGGTTTTTCCTCATTTTAACTTTTTTCTCCCCATTTAAAATTCTTTCTCCTCTATTTTAGTTGTCCCCCAATTTTAGCTGCCCCCCCGCCCCGTATTTTTATCTCCCCATACACCTTTTTAACTCCCCCCTCCTTACTTTAACTTTTGCTCCTTAATTTAACTTTTCCCCTTTTAATTTAAACTTCTCCGCTCTCATTTCAACTTTTCCCCTAATTTTAACCTTCCCCCCCCGCCCCAAAGGTGCTCCGGCACCTGCAGACTCCCCACCGCACCCCAAACTGTGCGGGGGGAAGGGGGAACCCACATCCCCCTTTACCCTCAGAGCGCTCCCCGACTCCTCAGCTCCCCCCAGACCACCCGAATTTACCCCAAAACCACCCCACCCTTGGGGGTGCCCGCAATAAAGGAGTTTCGGGGTGCTCCCCCGCCCCCAAAAAAAGTGGGGGGGACTCACCTTCCTCGGCGGCCAGGGGGCTGAGGGCGGTGAGGAGGAGGAGGGTGAGGGTGAGGGCCGGGAAGGTGCCGGCCATGGCGGGGCGGTTTTGGGGGGTCCCGGGCGCGCCCCACGAGCGGCGGCCCCGCGGGGAGTGCGGGGGGTGTGGGGTGCGGGGCCGCGCGCCCGCTCCTGTTCATTCATGCCCTGCTGACGTCACCGGCCACGCCCGCTCTTAAAGGCGCAGGAGCCGCTCCCAGTACGCACCAGTACGGCACTGGGAGGGCGCCCGCCCCAGGGAAGGACGCGGCCGGGTGGAGGGGAGGGGGCTGTGGGAGCCCCCCCAAGGTGGGGCACGGCCCCGGAGGGGGTTCGGGGGTCCCGCAGCCCCGCGGGGACCCCCGCGCCCGGCCCCGAAGGGGTGAACGCGCCCCCCCTTCCGCCCCCTCCCCTTTCATTCATGAATCGGCGTGGGAAGGGCGGGGGGGGCGGCAGCCAATGGATGCAGGGGGCGGGGCCACGCGGTTACTACCGGCCACGCCCCCCGCCCACCAGTTCGATACTGGGGGGTTTGGGGGGGACCGGTCTGGGGGGGCTGCCCGGGCCCCAGATCCTCAACACCACCGTCCTCATGGACCTGCAGCACCCCAAACCCCACAGCACCCCAAATCCCATCACCCACGGCACCCCAAATCCCACAGCACCCTAAATCCCATTACCCACGGCACCCCAAATCCCACCACCCATAGCACCCCAAATCCCACAGCACCCTAAATCCCATCGGCACCCCAAATCCCACCACCCATAGCACCCCAAATCCCACAGCACCCTAAATCCCATCACCCACGGCACCCCAAATCCCACAGCACCCCAAACTCTGGATCATCTGTTGCACCCCAAATCCCATAGTGCCCTAATTCCCTCAATTCCAGCACCTCAAATCCCTCAGCAGCCCTGTCCCCATGATCCTGCAGCATCCCAAATCCTGCATTTTCCATAGCACCCCAAATCCCACAGCGCCCCAATCCCTTCACCTCTAGTGCCACAAATCCCCCAGTACCCCAAAACAACTCAAATCCCACAGCACTCTAAATCCTGCACCCCTGTTCCCATAATCCCTCTGCAGCCACATCCCCTAATACCCACAGAGCCCAAAAGCCCCAGGATCCACAACACCCCAAATCTGCCAATAGGCCCAGCACCCCATTCCATGATCCCGGTGCACCCACATCCCCCAGCACCTGCAGCACCCCAAATCCTGCAAGCACCCCCATTTCATGATCCCATTGAAATTCAAATCCCCCAGGATCTGCAGCACCCCAAATACTGCAGGCACCCCCATCCCCAGGATCCCAGTGCACCCCACATCTCCCAGTAAGTGCAGCACCCCAAATCCTGCAAGTACCCCCATTCCATGATCCCACTGAAATTCAAATCTCCCAGGATCTTCAGCACCCAAATCCTGCAGCACCCACCTCCTGATGATCCCATTGCACCCCACACCCCCCAGTACCCCCAAATTTTCATTACCGCAGCACCCCAAATCCCCCCAAACCCACCACCCCCAAAACGGACAAGCCAGGCCATCCATGATCTTTTTCATAGAAAATCACTGATTTTAGCAAAAAGGCACCTTTTTTACCCCTCCCACTCCCCAAACCCTTCCCAAGAGGGGGTTCAGGTGGGGGTGTCCCCCGTGTCCCCCGGGGTGACCCCGGCGGTCACTTGGTCGCGCCGCCAGAGCTCCTCCACCAGGGCGTCCAGGACGGGGCCGACCCGGGCCAGCCCCGCCCGCGCCCCGCCGGCCCCCGCGGTGCCCCCTGCCCGCAGCACCCGCAGCCCCTGCGAGCCCTCGAAGGCCCGCACGTCCCCTTCTGTCACAGCCGCGTGCGGGGCCAGGTCGAATCTGGGGTGGGGAGGGGACACAGGGTCAAGGGAAACAGCAACGCCCCAGAAAATCCCCCCAGAAGCACCCGAGATTCATGGGGAGTTGTGAGCCCATGGGTGTAACCAGGTGGGAGTGTTCTCTGCCTGCCCAGGGACTGAGTGGTTTGAAATCTGGGGGTGCAAACCTGATTGTGAGGGGGACACGGGGTCAAGGAGACCCAGAAAATCCCCCCAAAATCTTGTGAAAATAAGTAGGGGTTGTGACCCAAAGAAACCCCCTAAAAAATCAATGGGAGTTGAGGGCACATTGGTGTAATGAGTGTTGCATGTTCTCAGCCTAACAAGGGATTGAGTGGTTTGAAATCGGGGTGCAAACCTGACTGGGTGGGGAGATATAGGGTCAAAGGAGACACCAACACCCCAAAAATCTCCTTTAGAGTGGCAAAACCCCCTAAAAATAAGCAGGAGCCGTGAACCCATCAGTGTAACCATTTGTGCACATTCTCAGCCTGCTGAGATACCAAATGCTGAGAAATCTGGGGGTGCGAACCCATTTTGGGGCAGGGGGGGTTAAGGAACACCTAGAAAAACCCCAAAACCCCGTGAAAATCAGCAGGAGTCGGGAATCCACCGGTGTGCCATTCTCAGCCCCTGCCATGCCAAGCGCTGAGAGCCCCGGAGGTGCAATCCCCCGGCCATGGGGTAACTTTTGGGGACCCCCCCAAAAGGATACTTGGTGCCCACGACCACCCTGACGAGGTGACGGTCCCCGGGGCCCAGCACGCGGCCCATGAGCGCCGGCAGCTCCTCGAAGGACGCGCGGTCCGTGAAGGAGAACAGGAACAGGGCGGCGTCCGCCTCCTCCTTACAGGCCTGGGCACGGGGACACCGCTCACCGGGGGTCCTGGCGGTGTCCCCCGCCCCAAAACGCGTCCCCCACCCCAAAACGCGTCCCCCGCTCACGGGCAGCAGGTGCTCGAACTTCCTGAGCGCTCCGTCCCCGCAGTCCCAGAGGTGCAGCTGGAACAGGACGGGGCGGCCGCTGCCGCGGGGCTTGGCCGGCCAGAACAGCGTGGTGGCCTCGATGCCTGCGGGGACAGCGGGACTGTCACCCCCGGGACATCCCGGGCCATACACAGGGTCCCGTGGTGGCCTCGATCCCTGCGGGGACAGCGGGACTGTCACCCCCGGGACATCCCGGGCCATACACAGGGTCTCGTTGTGGCCTCGATCCCTGCAGGGACAGCGGGACTGTCACCCCCGAGACCCCACCGGGCCATACACAGGGTCTCGTTGTGGCCTCGATGCCTGCGGGGACAGCGGGACTGTCACCCCCGGGTCCCCCCCGGCCGTACCCAGGGTCTCGTGGTGGGCGGGGGGCGCGGGGGTCCCCCCCAGCCAGGCCACCAGCGCTGTCTTGCCGACGCCGCTCCTGCCCGCCAGGAAGAGTTTGTAGGTGACCGTGGGGACAGCCAGCGCAGGCGGCAGCGCCGGGCGCTCCAGCAGACCTGGGGAGGGGCTCGGGGTCATTCTGGGGGGGCTGAGAGCTCGGCTGGGGGGCGCAGGGGGGGCACGCACCGAACACTCTCCGCTGGTTCTTGTGCAGGATGGAGTCCAGGTAGGGGCGGCCGGCGGGGGACAGGAGCCAGCCCGGCTCCAGCGCCCAGTCCTGCTCTGCCATGGGCCCCCAAACCTGGGGGACGGCCAAGAGCCCCCCTTCCCCCATGGGGTCACTGCATCCGCAGCTTTGGGGGCTCCTTTTGAGACCACCCCAGGGTCCAGGCATCCTCCCCAGGGCCCCTAAATCCTCCATCGGGTCCCTAAAACACCCCCCGTGTCCCAGCATCCTCCCATGGGGGCCCCAAAACCACCCACGGGGTCCCTGACACGCCCCTGTGGGGTGCCTGCCCCCCCTCCATGGGGTCTGTGCCCTCCCTATGGAGTCCCTGTACTCTCCCATGGGGTCCCTGACCCCTCTCTGGGGTCCCTGCACTCCCTACAGGGTCCCGCCGCCTTCCCATGGGTTCCCTGTCCCTCTCCGGTTCCTGTGTCCCACTCTGGGGTCCCTCTCCCCCTCAGTGTCCCTACCCCCTCCCAGGGCGTCCCTCACACCCCATACAGGGTCCCTGCCCCCCTCAGTGTCCCTTTATCCCCTCAGGGTGTCCCTCACAGCCCCATTCTGGGGTCCCTGTCCCGCTCAGTGTCCCTCCACCCTCCCAGGGTGTCCCTCACAGCCCACACGGAGTCCCTGCACTCCCCCGAGGGGTGCCTGCCACCCCCGCAGGTTCTGTGCTGCCCCCAGCTGCCCCCGGTGCCCCCACAGCATTTAGGAGGGGGGTCCCAGCCCCTGTCCCCTCCCCGGACCCGCTGCCCCCCAAATCCCCCCCATGTCTTGTTCCTCACACCAATTTTCCCGCGCGGGCCCTTTAAGACGCGGCCCGGCCGCTCACCTGAGGCAGCTTCCACCTCCCCGTGACGTCACGAAAATAGGCGGGGCGCTACGGAGACCACGCCCAGCCACAGCTGCGCGTGCGCGGCGAGTTGAGGGGACGCGTGGAGTGACCTCGGCCCGGCGGATTTTGGGGGGTCCCCATCCCAAGTTACTGACACTGCAATGATTTGGGGAGTCCCAATCCCAAGTTATTGACATCAGAGTGATTTGGGGGTTCCCATCCCAAGTTACTGACACTGCAATGATTTGGGGGCTCCCAATCCCAAGTTACTGACACTGCAATGATTTGGGGGTCCCCATGCCAAGTTACTGACACTGCAATGATTTGGGGGTCCCCATCCCACGTTACTGACACTGCAATGATTTGGGGATTCCCACTCCAAGTTACTGACACTGCAATGATTTGAGGGTCCCCATCCCAAGTTACTGACACTGCAATGATTTGGGGGTCCCCATCCCCAGTTCCCAGCACTGCTGGGATTTGGGGTTCCCAACTGCCAGTGTTTCCAGGCTTTGGAGCCCTCCCCCATCCCTAATCACTGACACTGGAATGCTTTGGGCTCCAACATCTCCCCCACTGGCAGGACTTGGGGTCCCAATTTCCAGCCCCAGCAGGCTCTAGGATCTCCATCTCCAGTTCCCATCTCCAGCAGGCTGTGGAGTTTCCAGCACTGGCAGGATTTGGGGTCCTCAGCACCAATTTCCAGCCCCAAGTGGTTTTGGGCTCCCTATTCCAAATTTCCAGCCCCAACAGGTTTTGGGGTTCCCAATTCCCAGTGCTGGGAGGCTTTGACATCCCCAGTTACCATCTCCAGCAGCCTTTGGGATTCCCATTTCCAGTTTCCATCCCTAACAAGAGTTTGGTGTCCCCCATTCCCAGTGCTGACAGCTTTGGGTTCCTGTCCCTAATTCCCAACCCTGGAAGGACCTGGGATTCACAATTTCCAGCACAAGCAGGACATGGGTTCCCCAGTTCCCAGCCCTGAGAGGTTCTGGAGTTCCATCCTAAACCTCCATCCCAAACAGGGCTTGGGATCCCTGAATTCCCAGCTCCCACAGGCTCTGGGATCCCCAGTTTCCAACCCCAACAGGCTTTGGGGTCCCCATCCCCAATTTCTGGCTCCAAGAAAATTCAGTGTCCCAAATTCTCTGTGTCCCTCTTTGCCTCCCTCCACTGCTCCAGCATCCCCTGTACAAATATTTCCCTTCTCTTACACAAAGACCCCAAATTCCCCCTTTCACCCCCAAACTTAACAGCAGCACAGCAAGAACTTCCCCTCCAAATCACTCCCACCCCTCCCCAAAAGCATCAACCATCTGTTTCTTTTCCTTTTTATTTGTTAAACCACTAAAAATTCGTTGGGAAGGGGGGGGAGGGACCCCCATGAACCCCCCCAAAATGTACACAAGATTTTAAATATCACCGGAATCGCTTCCCATTGCTGCTCTCGGCCCGGGAGTGACGGGGGGGACACCTGAGTCGCGGTGGGTGGGGGGGACACCTCGCTCACAGCACCAGCAGCTCCCGTGGGATTTGGGGGCAGGGACCCAAATTTGGGGTGAATCTCTCTGAAGGGCACAGAACATGCATCTCCCGGCAGGGAACCCCGGGAGGGGAACCCCGGGAGCGGGGCAGGATGGAAACTGGGAGAGCAGCCCTGGAGGGATGCTCTGGAGGGAGGAGGACATCAAGGTGCCATCCATGCCCGGCTTTGACTCTTTTTTTGGGGATGGATGACAAAAAACATGCAAAGGGGACGTGGGGATCGATGGCGAAGCCTCGACCGTCTTCCCCGCCGCCACGCGTGGAGAAGGAAAATTCCAAAATTCCACAGCTCACCCGAGGTGCTCCTGAGGTCTGGGGATTTTTTGAGGGAGGGGGAGGAAATTGAATTTTGCTTTCCCTTAGGACAAATCAAATTGTTCTGGGATGAACGGGAGAGGTGGGATTTGATGAGGGGTTTATTTACAGAGGTGGAAATGCCGCGGGTGAAGCAAATCCCTCCCCGTCCCCACGCGGCTGGGATGGGATTTAAGGCTCCGACCGGCAGAAAGCTCAGTGGGAATGGAGAAGAAAAATTTTGGGAAGAAGGGACCACGTCATGGCACTGCCGGTTTGGGGAGGGCTCCCTGGTTTTAGGGTGCTGGAGGTTGTTGACCAAAACCTGGCAGAATCCGCCCCGTTTCCCCCCCTTGGAGGGGACAGGGAAGGAGGGGTTGTCCCAGAAGGACGCACAGGTTCAATCCCTTCGGATTTGGATTTAATCTTTGCGGAAGGAGGCACGTGCAAAGATGAGGTGAAGTTACTGCATCGAGGCTGCCCTCACATTTACCAGTATGTCCTTTTCCCTGGAAAACCCACCCTGCTCCCGGGCTCCAAGGAGCTGCTTCAGCCTTGAACGGGTTTGGGCCGTTCAATGAAATGAAACCTTTAAGTCTAGAAGGGAATTGGCAGCCAAATATCTCTGTTTTGGGGGAATAATGGGATTTTCAAAGTATTTTTGCTGGTCAGAGGGGATCAGGGCTGACCCCTAAGCCTGATCCAGCAGGGCAGGGAGAGGAGGGATGCTAACAATCAAGATTTTTGGCATTTTGACACAAAAAAATGTCCTTTCCTCCTTCTTTTGGTCCTGCCTGGAGGACAGAGACGAGAGCGGCAGGTGAGAGGCAAAATAAAAAGGCATCGTGTTTGTGTCGAGCAAAGGTTGGCAGCGCTGGGAGATTCCCAGAGGGATATTGCTGTTTTCCTGACAGAGTTGAGCATGGAATTAATCAAGCTAACAGCCTCCTGCCTGCTGCAATTTAGGTTATTCCTATAAAACCACTTCTGCTCACAACCCAAGAGGAATTTCGGAGAGACCGAGACTCACAAACACTTAGAGAATAAACCCAGGAGGATCCTGGCTGCAGCAGAGGAATTCCCTGACTGCTCACCCCAAATCCTTGGATCCTTCCCCGCCTGTAAACACGACTGGGGTCTTACTGGGAACTGCCGGGGCAGTGCTGGAGGGTTTGCTTGGACTTTTATTGGTTTCCTGCTCCCTAATTCACAGTTTGAACGCCTGCGTGTTGGGAAGGGGCTGGGGAAGGAGGAGGAAGAGCCGCAGGGATGGAAGGACGGGCGGCGGGCGGGGGCCGCATTATCTCTTTGCTCGCACAAAGTACAAGGCATTTGTTTTGGGGTAATATTTGACGTTTTGTTTCTTGTCCATCAGGCCACCGAATATGATCAGCTCCCCTCGGCCTTGCACCACTGTGTGTAAACTGGTCTCGGGTGGCCCCACCACGGAGCTGCTGTTGAACACTTTCCACTTGACTCGTCCCTGCTCCTTGGTGTCCTTAATGTCCAGCACGTACATCTGCATGGGCTTGCAGTTCATGCTCTGGTACAGCGGCTTGCCCACGTTCAGCGACTGCGGTGGGTGGTGCCCGAGGCGCCGGGCGATGGGGGGCAGCGAGTGCCCCTCGCCCTGGGTGCTGCTCGGCCGCACCGAGCCCGGCTCGGCGCCCGGGGACCCCGGGGACGAGGCCAGGGGAGGGCTCAGCGCGGCCGAGGCCGAGGCGGCTTTGGAGGAGAGGGCTTTGACGGCCTCGAGGCTGCGGCGGAGCGCGCCGGGGGACACGGCCCCAGGCAGGGCGGCGTGGGGCGGGGTGTGGATGCCGTTGGTGTGCTCCGGGGGGTTCCGCGTGCCCGCTGTCCTGCCCTCCGCACCGTCCAGCTGGCACAGGAGGGACGTGGGCTTCTGCTCCCAGCCCAGCTCCACGGAGGCCAGGCGCAGATCCCTCTGCTCCGGCAGCGAGCCCCGGCGCGGCGCCAGGGCCGGCCCCACCTTGAGGTCGAATCCCTCGGCGGCCGAGGGGGTGCTGGGGGACAGGGCCTGCACGGGGCTGTCCAGGGAGGCCCCGCCGGGCGGCGCAGCTCCGGGTGACACGGTGCCGCCGTTGAGCACCGGGGAACTGTCCCCTCTGGCCGGGGACAGGCTGCCCTCCCGCGAGCCCGACGGCGTCTGCCTGCGGGGCCGCAGGGTGCCCCAGCGGCCGTTGACGCAGGGAGCCTCGTCCGTGTTCCTGACGGGAGACTGGGAGCGGAATTCCCGCGTCTCGGGCACCAGGGCGGGCGGCGTGGCGCTGATGGGAGACGGGCGGGAGTTGAGGCTGGGGCTCAGCGGGGCTCTCCCGCTGGGAGCTTGGCTGAAGACCACGACGCACTGTCCCACCTGAGGGAGAGCAGGGAAGAGACATCAGGAGGAGCCTTGGTGCTGGGGAGAAGCAGTTATGGAACATTTTGGGCAGGGAATAAAGAGGGAGGGGTGTGTGTGAGGGAGCAGGGACCCCCCGTGTCCGTACCCTGCAGGCAGGATGGCACCACAGCTCCGGGGCTCCGTGGTCCTCGTTCTCCACCTTGAGCGGCTGCCAAGTCCAGGGGTTGGCCTGCATGTGCAGCAACCAGGCATCTTTGAACAGCTGGGGAGAGAAGGGTCACACATTCAGGAGTCTGGGCTGGCATTCAGAAACCCAGGCTGAGATTTAGGATCCCAGGCTGAGATTCAGGAGCC